TCCGGCTGCCCCTTCGGGCACCCTGTCGGGTCTGTACCTTCCCTCGTTCTCCACGAACTTGGTGAGTGGAGCGGACCTGCAGGATGGGGGTGTTCACCAGTTCACTCCTGCGTGTCAGCGGGTGACCCACTGCACGGAGGCACGCACAGGCCGACACCTGGCCACGTTCTCGCGTCGGCCGGGGTCGAGTCTCTACACCCTGACCGTTGAGTCTCCTCCTGTCCCTGCGTCTGGTCAGGTGGCTGCGTTGGGTTAGGTACTTGCTGCTGCGTCCCGGTCAGGTCCTGAGTCTGCCCCCTGTTCTTGTCGCCTCCTGTCTCACGAGACTCTCCTGTGGCACCACCGTCTTGGCCACCCCTCCTTGCCCCGTCTTCGGAGCATGGCTTCCCGTGTCCTTGTCTCTGGTCTTCCCCAGTCTCTCCCTCCTCTCCCCTCCGGGCCAGGACCTTCCTGTGTCCCCTGTGTCGAGGGTCGCCTCCGGGCTACTCCTCACTCCTCCCACTTCCCCCCGACAGAGGCTCCCCTGCAGACGCTTCACATGGATGTGTGGGGCCCAGCCCCCGTCCGTGGGCAGGGTTACGAGCGCTACTTCTTGTTGGTGGTTGACGACTACTCGCGTTACACCACAGTCCTCCCCTTGCGCAGCAAGGGTGAGGTCACTGAGGTGCTGATCGACTGGATCCGCGCAGCTCGTCTCCAGCTCAGGAGGAGCTTCGGCTCAGACTTTCCTGTTCTGCGTCTGCACTCGGACAGAGGCGGAGAGTTCTCTTCTCGCCTTCTGCGAGACTACTGTCGTGCACGGGGGATCCGCCAGACCTTCACGCTTCCGGACTCACCACAGCAAAATGGGATTGCTGAGCGCCGCATTGGCATGGTCATGGATGTCGCTCGTACGTCCATGATGCATGCGGCTGCCCCCCATTTTCTGTGGCCGTTTGCAGTGAGGTACGCGGCGCATCAGCTCAACCTTCACCCCCGGGTCTCTCGGCCTGCGATGTCCCCAGCCTTGCTGTGGACGGGGAAGGTTGGCGATGCGTCTGTGTTCCGTGTCTGGGGATCTCGGGCGTTTGTCCGCGACTTGTCTGCGGACAAGCTGTCCCCTCGTGCTGCTCCCTGTGTCTTCCTTGGCTTCCCCACTGACGCCCCAGGGTGGCAGTTTTACCACCCCTCCTCTCGTCGTGTTCTGTCCTCCCAGGACGTCACGTTCGACGAGTCAGTCCCCTTCTACCGTCTCTTCCCCTACCGCACTCCTTCCCTCCCCCCTCCCCCGGACTTCCTTGTGCCGGTTCCCCCCCCGGTAGACCCCCTCCCCCCTCAGGTTCCTGCCCCCTCAGGTGTGTCCCACGTAGACGCCGTTGACCCGGTCGAGGTTACTGGTGACTCTGGTGCTGCTGCGGGTGCTGAGCCTGGGGGTGCTGACTCTGGGGGTGCTGTGCGCGGGGGTGCTGAGCCTGGGGGTGCTACTGCTGGGGGTGCTGGGCCTGAGGGTGCTACTGCGGAGGGTGCGGAGCCTGGGGGTGCTGAGCCGGGGGGTGCTGTGCCTGGGGGTGCAGGGTCTGGGGGTGCTGAGTCGGGAGCTACTGAGCCTGGAGGTGCTGAGCTGGGAGCTGCTGAGCCTGGGGGTGCTGCGTCTGGAGCTGCTGAGCCTGGGGTTTCTCCTGCTGCTGCGTCTTGCCGGGAGCCCCTCTCTCCACAGGAGCTGCGCGAGTGGTTCGCTCGCCGCTGGAGGCGTGCTGCTGAGTCTGGAGGTGCTGCTGGAGCTGGACCTGGAGCTTCTTCGACCGTCGTGGGTGCGGGTGCTGCCGGTCCCGGAGCTGCTGGACCTGCGGGTCCTCCTGGAGCTGGAGCTGCTGAGGGCGCTGGTGCTGAGCCTACTGCTGTTGGTCCTGCCACTGGAGGTGTGGGTGGCGCTGGTGCTGTCGCTGAGGGTGCTGGTGCAGACCCTGCTGCGTCTGGAGCTGCCGCGCGGCCTCGGCCGTACTTCGTTCCGCTCTTGCAGCAGGTTCTTGGTCTTTCTCCTCCGGTAGAGGGTCCACCGCCTGTCCAGTCGCAGTCCCTGCTGGAGCCTTCCTCTCCACTGCCTGCTCCCTCTCCTTACACTGGTCCTACTGGAGGTCTTGCTGAGCGTCGTGAGCCTGCGTCTCGTCCCGCGTCGCCTGTTCGTGCTGCTCGCGCTAGTGGTCGCAGTTCGCGTCAGCGTCCTCCTCCTGTCCCTGGCACGCACCGGATGTCTTTGCGTCCGTCCACTGCTCCTCTGCGTGCCCCTTTGCCTTCTCCTCCTGAGTCCTCTCTTCCTGCGCTTGCCGACCCTGAGTCGGACTCTCTTCGTGCTGCCAGTCCTACTGTCACGCGTCTGCTTGCTACTGTCATCACTGACCCCTCTTTTGAGTCCACTGATGCGTCTGCTCTAGTCGCTGAGCTAGTCGACTTTGCTGCTCGCTGTCGTCTCGACTACGCTGCTAGTCTTGTTGCTGAGTCTGCGTCTGTCTGTCCTCCGTCCGTCGGGGGTGAGTGTGCTCTTAGCACGGACGTCCTAGAGGACAGGCAGGAGGAGTTACAGTGTCTAGCGGCTGCTTCACCTCATCTCGCGTCTGTACTGCTTGCCCCTGAGGGAGACCCGGATGCACTAGACATCCCGACTCCGCGTTCTTACGCGGAGGCCGTAGAGGGTCCCTACTCCTCTCAGTGGCAGGCAGCTATGGATGCAGAGATGGCTTCCTGGAAGTCCACAGGCACCTATGTTGACGCGGTTCCCCCTCCTGGGGCGAACATCGTCAGTGGCATGTGGATCTTCAGGGTGAAGCGGCCGCCGGGCTCTCCACCTGTCTTCAAGGCACGGTACGTTGCTCGTGGCTTCAGTCAGCGGCAGGGAGTTGACTACTTTCAGACCTTCTCTCCCACCCCGAAGATGACTACTCTTCGGGTGCTGCTGCACATAGCCGCTCAGCGCGACTACGAGCTTCACTCTCTCGACTTCAGCACTGCGTTCTTGCAGGGTAGCCTGCACGAGGAGATCTGGCTTCGCCGTCCACCTGGCTTCACTGGGACTTTCCCTCCTGGCACCCAGTGGAGCCTCCGACGGCCAGTCTACGGTCTCCGCCAGGCACCGCGTGAGTGGCACAACACACTGAGGACTACGCTTGCGGCTCTTGGGTTTGCTCCTTCTACTGCTGACCCGTCGCTGTTTCTTCGCACCGACACTTCCCTGCCGCCGTTCTACATCCTCGTGTACGTCGACGACTTGGTCTTTGCCACAGCGGACACTGCTGGACTCGCCTACGTGAAGTCCGAGCTGCTGAAGAGACACACGTGCACAGACCTGGGTGAACTGCGCAGCTACCTTGGCTTGCAGATCACTCGGGACAGAGCACGCCGCACCATTACCTTGACTCAGTCACACATGGTGCAGCAGGTCCTTCAGCGCTTCGGCTTCACGTACTCCTCGCCTCAGGCCACTCCTCTGCCTACTCGCCACTCACTCTCAGCTCTGCCTTCGGATGAGTCCGTAGAGTCAAGTGGCCCGTATGCAGAGCTTGTTGGCTGCCTCATGTACCTGATGACCTGCACACGACCTGACCTTGCATACCCTCTGAGCATTCTTGCACGCTATGTTGCTCCTGGGAGACACAGACCGGAGCACATGGCTGCAGCGAAGAGGGTATTGCGCTACCTGTGCAGTACGTCGGGCATGGGGCTAGTGCTTGGAGGGCGGAGTCCAGTGGTCCTTACCGGCCACGCGGACGCTTCTTGGGCTGACGACCAGGCTACGCAGCGGTCGTCACAGGGTTACACCTTCAGCCTTGGTTCCGGCTCTGTCTCGTGGCGGTCTACTCGCTCGTCTTCGGTTCTCGGCTCCAGTTGTGAGGCTGAGATCTACGCCGGGGCCATGGCTGCACAGGAGCTTCGCTGGCTCACCTACCTGCTGACTGACCTTGGAGAGCCGCCTCGTTCTCCTCCAGTGCTGTACGTAGACAACAAGGCTATGCTGGCCTTGTGTCGAGAGCAGCGCTTGGAGCACAGAACGAAGCACATTGCTCTCCGCTACTTCCTTGCTCGTGAGCTGCAGCAGCGTGGTCAGTTGCGACTTGCGTACGTGGCCTCTGAGGCCAACACTGCTGATGTGTTCACCAAGGCACTCGTGCCTTGTGACCATCAGCGCTTTTGCACCCAGCTGGGTCTTGTGCCTGTCTTGCCTCACTTGCTCTCCTCTTGACTTCACTTGTACTGTGACATATATATATATGCCTGCTCTTGTTTGTCTAGTTTTATATATATATGTGTCTGTACTCCTGCATGTGAACTGGCCTCTGGCCCTACTCTTGTGCTCGGACTGTGTGGTGACTTTGTGATCCACCCTGAGCTTGCTTTGCTTTGCTTGACTGGTCTTGTGACCCCTTGTTCTCCCCCACTTTGCCTATGGGGGTGTGTCAGATTTATATGACATAGTTGCTGTAGGCTATAGTGGGGTAGCACATATGGGGTACAGGGTTTCTAGGGTTGCATTTGTACCCAATCTTTCCTTAGTCATCCCATTCCTGCTTACTCATTTCACAGCAAATGGCCACAAGGCTAGTCCACATGCAGAGTTATATAATCAAGAACAAACAATACAGTGATCACAACCTAGCAGGGGTAAGCATGCATGCATATGTATATAGATCACAGTACAAAGTCACGAAGTAAGCAGGTCAGGTAAAGTAGGTTCAAGGCCTAAAACAGTACAGAAATGCTAATGATCACCAAGCTGAAGTGCCTTTGTAAATATATCAGCAGTGTTGGCCCAAGTAGCCACGTAAGCAAGACGAAGCTGACCACGCAGCTGCAGATCTTGAGCAAGGAAGTAACGCAGAGCGATCTGCTTCGTCCTGTGCTCAAGTCTGTGCTCCTGACACAAGGTAATCATGGCCTTGTTGTCAACGCACAGCTTTGGAGGAGAACGATGTTGGAGTAGGCTAGAGCTCGCTCTTGTCTTTATTTTGGTGTTCTTATATTATTTCTCCATGCTTAGAGAGAGTTACGCATTCAGGTTCATTTTAGGTTCATTTCGTAGTTCTTAGTACAAACCAAACACGCCCTAGGTTCAATTAGGGTTTCCAACCCTCTCTTTTGTATCTCGACATTTTTTTCATAGTGCAACTTTTTCGACCATCCATGGCTCCTCTCATCTTAAATCCGGCAGCCCAAATTGCACAACTTTTAAAAGGTTGACGCAAGGGTGTTTTGGTGGTCTGGGTTTTGGCGAAACATTCCAATTCGCGTTTTTCGTTTTTTTCGCCAAACCCAGCCCGCCCTCGTATTTCGTTTTGGGGATTGGTTCGGTTCCCAAAAGTCCCAAATTGCAGGTTGGCTTTTTTTCAAACCTAGCAAACACTAGTTTGTCAAGATTTAAAAGCTTGACCCGTGCGGCCCGCAATTTGGGCCGCGGGCTTTAACATAGTTTCATATTTATCCGTATTTCTTAGAAAATCTCCAGCCCTTAGGCCATTTCCGCGCTACTTAGCTAGACGATTTTTTATTATCTCCTTTCTTTCCTGTCACTCTTTAAAAAAAAATCGCATTTTTTGTCACATTATACTCTCGCGAATTCCTTAATCCAGTCCGTAGCGCGTCGCCATACCGCCCTTATCACCCTCCTGCGCCTTCCCATTCGTCGCGCCTCCTTCTCCTCCTGTTCCTGGTGGTCGCGCGCCCATTCCCACCCAAAGCACGCTCTGCCGTCCCCCCCCTTCCCCCGTCCCGTCGCGCGCGCATTGCGCTCCCGCAGCGGCGCGCACTAAGCACCGTCCAGCAGAGCGCGCGCCTGCCCTTCCTTACGGCGTGCCCTGCCCTTCCTCAATCCGCCCCTTCCCTCACCCTCCTCCTCCTTCCCTCTTTCCTTCGTGCTTCCCCCACTACCTCACCTCTTCCTCCTATTTTCTCTCCCCATCTGCTACGCCTCGCAGCTCCTTGTGGCGCGCCTTGCCCTTCCCACAATCCGCCCCTTCACCCTCCTCCTCCTCTCCTCTCTCCCACTAGTTCCCTCTCCACTATCTAACCCCTCCTCCACCTCTTTTCTCTCTTCATCTGCTGCAGCTGGTAGCTGATTGTATTGTGTAGCTGTTGTTCCTCCACACCTTCCCTCCTTCTCAACATCCTCCTCTCAACTGCACAAATGCAAACTCTTCACAATTCTCCCTCCTCCTTTTGTTTCTCCCTTCAGCGGCACAGCAGCGGACTTCTCTGCCACTATCCCTCCTCCTTTGGTTTCTCCCCTCATCGGCGCAGCAGCAGACTACTCCGCCACTTTCCCTCCTCCTCTGGTTTCTCCCCTCATGGGCGCAGCAGCAGACTACTCCGCCACTTTCCCTCCTCTGGTTTCTCCCTTCATCGGCTTAGCAGTAGACTACTTCGCCATCTTCCCTCCTCCTCTCGTTTTCTCCTCGCATCGACTCAGCAGCAGACTACTTTCCCTCCTCTTCTTGTTTCTCCCCTCGGCAGCTCAGCAGCAGACTACCCCGCCCTTATTCCTCCACCTCTTATACCTCTCCCCACATCTACTCTGCAGTTGTTTCCTCCTCCTCATGGTGACCTCTCTCGCCCTCCCCTCCCTCCCTCTGCTGTTCCTTCAGCTTGCGCCTGATGGCAGTGCAGTCAACTTCCCCAGTTGGCTGAACTGTCTTGAGCGCATGCTGTTTGGCACCCTAGTGAGTGGCTTTAACCTCTGGTTTGTCACTCAGCAGAATGGTTTTGGCGCCATTCCTACCTCTCCCTCTGCACCCACCTCTTCCTCCTGTGACCCCTATGCTGGTGGCTTCCGTACTGCCATTGCTTAAACTGAGCGGCTTGTGGCCACGACGCAAGCCACCGCCACGGGTGCTCCTGACAATGCTGCTGCCCGTGACTTAGCTCGTATTCTTGCTGAGTCCCTTGAGAGCACCCGCAAGCACCTCACTGCGCACCTCGCTGCCCCTAATCCTCGTTGTGCCTCTACGCCCCTTTCCTCTGCTCCATCTCACTCTGACCTTCTTGCTGACTTGCATGTTGCCAACGCATGTGCCTGTCAGGTCATACCTGCCTGCCTCCCTCCAACTCTTCTCGCTCAGTGCTCACATATCCGCTCTGCCAAGGACCTTCTCGGCTATCTCACCGAGCGCTATCAGTCACAGACTCCCATCGGCGTCATTGCCCTCTTACGCGAGCTCACCTCTCTTCGTCTTGCTGACTTCACCACCATGGCAGACTACATCGCTCGTGTGCAGACGCTGTCCTCCTAACTTGCCGCTCAACAGTTTGAACTTTCCGATCATGTCTGCGGTGCCCTCCTCCTCACAGGCCTCACTCCTGAATACAATGTTCATGTCACCTTGTATGGTGAGCGCCCCGCCGACCAGTGGTCGTTCTCCCGTGTCTCTGCCTTCCTCCTCTAGGGAGAACTCAACCTCCGCAGCTGCCCTCCTACTGTCCCTCCTGTCACACCCTCTTCTACCCCTCCTCCTCTCTCCACCACCACTGTCGCCACTGCTTCCTCTCACCCTCGCAACACTTTCCCTCCTTGCACCTACATCATTCGCCAAGGGCCCCGCAAGGGTCACCCCTGCAGTTGCACCAATCATCCCACCTCCTCCTGCTTCCAGAAGCTCACCGATGAATGGTTCCTAGCTGGTAACACCATTCGCCCTCCCAACTGGCTCCAACTCTCTCGTCAGCATCGCCAGTCCTCCGCCCAGGTGGTCCTTGCGGCCGCCGACTCTGGTGCAGGTGCTCAAACCTCTGCTCTCCGTGTGACTATGCAAAGTCAGGATAGCATTCCGGGGGCTTCTCCCCTTATGGAGCCTCGTTTTGCCATGATCTTCACTCCTTCTATTAATGGCAATGATTCTTAGTATCTTGGTCCCACAGCTGCTGCTCTTTCCCTCCCTCGCACTCTTGAGTTTGTTCTTGACAGTGGTGCTACTGACTCTGTCTTTCGTGACGCTGGTGTGCTTCGCTCTTTTCCCCGTCCCCTCTCCATTCAAGGGGCTGGGGATACCATGACCATGACTTGCACCGCTACCTCTTCTCTTCCCTGTCGTGCCGCCCCCTCTGATGCTGTGACTGACCTCTATGTTCCTTCCTGCCGCCACAACCTTCTCTCTCTCTCCGCTCTTCAACGTCTTTGTGTGCGAGCTATCTTTCCCGAATGTGACTCCTACTGTGATCTCTATCATCACAACCGCCATCTTGCACACTTCACTCTTTCTCCTATCACTCACCTCTACACTCTTCGTGTCTCTCTTCCCCCTTCTGCCCATCATGCCTCTTCCGCTTCCGCCCCTCCTGTTACCTCCTGCGACTGTCGCACTCTTACTCAACCCACCCTTCTCTTTCATCATCGACTTGGCCACCCTAACTTTCCCCTTCTTCGCAGTATGGTCTCTTCTAAGCTTCTTCATGGCCTCCCTCCCTCTCTACCCCCCCTTACTCCCTCTCCTGCCCCTCCATGCACCCCATGTGTCCAGGCCAAACTCTCCTAGTCACCTCATCCCTCTTCTCCCTCTCCCCAACCCCTTGACCTTGTTCATATGGACCTCTGGGGTCCCTCACCTACTACTTCTCATCAGGGTCATCGATATTTTCTGCTTTTGGTTGATAACCACTCACGCTTTGCAACTGTCTATCCCCTCCGTGCCAAACCTGACGCTCCCTCCCTCATCATTCGTTGGGCTGAGCAAGCTCGTCTACGCTTTAAGCGTCCTGTCGCGTGCTTCCATTCTGTTGGTGGTGGCGAATTCTTTAATCACTCTCTCTCCTCTTACTATGCCTCTCATGGCATTCACCAGACCTCCACTCTTCCTCACTCCCCCGAGCAGAACGGGGTTGCTGAGCGTCGCAATTGCACTTTCATGGAAATTACTTGCTGACTTCTCACCCATGCCTCTGCTCCCCACTCCCTTTGGAGCTATGCTCTTCACCATGCCACTTTACTCTCTAACCTCCACCAACATCCTCTTCGCCCCACTACCACCCCCTTCCAGCTTTGGACTGGCCGCCAGCCCTCTGTCCACCCTCTTCGGGTATGGGGGTGTGTCGCCCATGTTCTTGTAAATCCAGCAGACCGATCTCGTCTGGGTCAGAAGCTCGCTCCCAAGACGCAACTCTGTACATTCCTTGGCATCAACTCTGATTGTCCTGGTTATCTTTTCTACACCCCCTCCTCTCACCAACTTATCCGCAGCCATGACGTAATTTTCAATGACACCCACTCTCCATTCCATTCTCCCCCACCCGCCCCTCCTGTCCCTTCTCTTCACTGGTCTGATTTTGATCAGCCGTCGTCTGTCCTCCCCTCCCCTCCTCCCCCCCCTCCCATCCCGCCTCTTCCCGCCCCTCCCCCCGCACCAGCCTCTACTGCCCCCCCTTCCGACATCATCTCTGGCGCCTCCCCACCCGCCTCTTCTTCTTCAACTCCCCTCCCTTCCTCACCTCCATCTTCCTCCCAACCCCCTTCGCCCGTACCCATCCCCCCCCCCTTCCCCGTGCCTTACTCGCTCCATAACTCGCGTCCTTTCTAATTTTCAGCACACTGCTCTTTTCACTCGTCTATCTCCATCCCAAGATGTGAATCTTCTTGAAAATCGCTTTGAGGAGCTCTTCACCATTCATCATGTTTCTCCTCTCCGATGTGTCACTGTCGGTGACTTCAGCAATTCTCCCACTCTTCTCTCTGTTGACACCGCTACCATTCCCACCCCTCAGTCCTACTCCGAGGCCGTGTCGGGCTTGTCAGAAAGAACAAGAGTGCAAAAGAAGAATGATGAAAGAGGGGTTTCACTAGCAGCAGTTGGGATACATATAGCAAACCCTAACTGGGTTGTACTCGCTATAGAGCACCCCACTACAGGCTAGGGTTTAGGGTAATATGGTATCACGAGCCTAGGTTGCCACCTAGGACCGCTTACTACTACGGGCCCACTATTCCGCTAGAAGCGCCCTCGTGCGCCCTACCTTACGTGCGCCCTCGTGCGTCTGTCTCTGCTCGTGCGCCCTCGTGCACCCTTTTCTGCTAGTGCGCCCTCGCGCGCCCCGCCTTTCGTTCTGCCTACGCGCCGTCCTGCAGCCCTCGCGTTGCCTCCTGCTGCCCTAGGCCAGTGGGCCGCCCCTGCAAGCTAGTACGACCCTCGAGCCGCCCCTGCAGGTCCGTCAGGCCCCCGAGCCGCCTCTGCAGGCCCGTCAGGTCCCCGAGCCGCCTCTGCAGGCCCGTCAGGCCCGAGAGCCGCCCCTGCAGGCCCGTCAGGTCGGCGCGCTGCCCTTGCAGGACCACGCCGCATGCGCGCAGCTTCTGCTCGCCCGCGCGCCGCTCCTGCAGGCTCGCGCCGCCCGCACGCAGCCTCTGCAGGCCCGTCAGGCCAGCGGGCGACCCCGTCAGGTCGCAGTCGTGGCCCCGTTAGGCCGCAGTCGCGGCCCCGTCAGGCCGCAGTTGCAGCCCCGCCCTGCCGTTGACGTGGACGCGGCCGCGCCCTGCCGTGACGCGGCCCCTCCAGCCCTGCAGCTGACGCGGCCGCGTCCTCCTATTGACGCGGCGTCGCCCCTACCCGCCGCGTCGCCCTGCCCGCCGCAACGCCCCTGCCCGCGGCGTCGCCACTGCCCGCCGCGTCGCCCTGCCCGCCGCGTCGCCCCTGCCCGTGGTGTCGCCCTTGCCCGCCGCATCGCCTTGCCCTACCACACGCCGGGCCCCAAGAGTAGCCGCCCCTGGAGCAACCGCCCCTGCAGCAGCCGCCCCTGGCCCCTGGAGCGGCCGCCACTGCAGTAGCCGCCCCTGGCCCCTGGAGCGGCCGCCCCTGCAGCAGCCGTCCTAGGCCATTGGAGCAGCCGCCATTGCAGGAGCCACCTCTGGCCCCTGGAGCAGCCGCCTCTGGAGCAGCCGCCTCTGGAGCAGCCGCCCCTGCAGCAGCGTCCGTCGCGGCCCTGTCCCTGCCCTGCACCAGCCGCCGTTGCGGCCCGGTCCCGCCCTGCAGCAACTGCCGCGGAGCTTCCTGCCTTGGTCGCGGCCCCGCCCTTCCGCTGTAGCGGCCCCGCAGTCGCCTCCGTCGTGCGCTTGCCCTTCCCACCACTAGTGAGCACTGCCCTGCCCGTGCTACTACTGCTGTTAGTGCTGCTGCTACTGCTGCTGCTGCTCCTGCTGCTCTTGCTTCTACTACTGCTCCTGGCGTGGCCAGATGCAGCTTTAGGGCCGTCCGCGTGTGTCCGTCACGCCCCAGCAGCTTCGTGAGTGGTACGCCAGTTGGGGTTGTCGGGGTGGCAGTAGTGGGCGTCGTCTTGGAGTGGGTAGTTCGGGAGTTTCTTGTAGTGGCCCTGTGTAGCAGCAGCGTCGTCCGCGCGAGACTCTTTCGCCCCAGCAGCTTTGTGAGTGGTACGCTCAGAGTACAGGGTCGCTGAGTTCTGCTCGCTGCCCGTACGTTATTAGCACGGGTGTCCGGACTGGTCAGCCTTGCGGGAGACGTGGTCATACAGAGTCCCGCTGCTTCGCCGGTCTGAGCGACGCTTGGCGTACAGAGTTTGGCGACGCCGCTGAGCTCCCCGACTGGGTGGTGCTACTTATGCAGAGGGTAGATATCTTTGCTCTTGACTATGATGCTATTCTCACTGCAATGTATGCATTGTCTACTACTGCCGAGGGAGCCTGTCACCTGTGTGTGTCGCCTGACCCCGGTATCCAGTCTGCTGCACCCCTAGCTCCACTCCCACGTCACCCCCACAACTCCACTCCCCGCGGCTCCCACACCTCCACCCCCCTCAGCAGCAGCTGCAGCAGTGGGAGACGAACAAGGAGGAGGGGAACACCCACACCGCGCAC